AAAATTGGTAAGGATTTCTAACTCCTACTCTATTTAATAATAGCAGCAACTGATTATGACAAATCAACACAAAAAGTTAAAGTGTAGAGATCTCACACTGCTAACAAAGGATTGTCAAGGATTGGCTTTCCCAGTCATAACATATGTCTGTGAAAGGTAGACCATCAAAAAGGCTAACAAAGAAAAGATAATGCCTTGGAATTTTGCTGCTGGAGAAAATTGTTGAGAATCCACTGGGTGGAGGGAACCACAAATAATTCAGTGCTGGATGAGATCAAACCAGGCTGCTCACTGAAACTACTAATAATGAAGCTAAAGCTTAGATATTTTGGATACATAGTGTGGAGGCAAGAATCTTAGAATAATCAAAGGCAATCAGAAAAGATTCAAGAAAATAAAACATCTAATTATAATCATGGTTATAAGCTTACAAGGACTCAGAGAAGCAGTTCCTAGCAAACTGTTTTCTATCGCCATGATGAATTAGAAGGAACTGACTGATTGAACAGAAAAGCAACAATATGAGACTGTTCCACTACCCTAAATTATACTGCTGCCCTTAAGAAAGTTTGGAATGTGCAGGAACAGATTTACGTGTGGAGGGATCTCATAATGTTCTGATGCTCCGAACAAACTCCTGCCTTTGTAACTAATTCTATTTCATCAGCCTTGTCGTTCCTATTTGTTTGTTTTTTAAAGTACACCCTGGAAATCTGAAGTATCTGCTATGTGCCAGTGTTGTTCTATGTAATCTTTAACATTATGTGCGTAACTGGAGATTCAGCTCAGCACTTACGAATCACTTGTTCCATGATTAAAAGTAGAAAAATAGAATAATCCTCTCACTCTGTTTTCCTACAAAACTGATTTTGTGCTTATCTAGTACAAACCTGGTATGTATGTATGTATGTATGTATGTATGTATTTAAAATTTTTATACAGCTTCCCATCTCACAAATGTGACTCTTGGCAGCATACAATAAAGTAGTTAATTTTTTTACTTTAATGTAAAAAATTTATATAGCTTCCCATCTCACAAACATGACTCTTGGCAGCATACAATAAGAGGGGTTTTTTTCTTTACTTTAATGTATGTAATTATGTACCGAATGGAAGTAATACCCTGTATTCTGGGACTATTGCTATATCAAATTCTTTCTGTTACTTTTGTCTCAGTTATAGCCTAGTATATCCTTATGTTACAAGATTGCCTTAACATTTGATGAGCATGGTAATCTTGTATCAAGTTATGTGCGTATAAATTAGGCCATATTACAACAACTTGACACAAGTCTTGAAGTTGAGTAATCCAGTGAAATCCTATTTCAAATTGGTGGCAGATTTTTAATATGGTGTCTGTTCTACACACACACTTCTTTGTTAAGCATGCATGGAAAGAAATAAGTGTTTTAGATTTGGAAAAGTTTGGAATAAAGACTTACTGAAAATGAAAGTTTTCTGATTCGATCTTCATCTGTTCTCTGCATGTGACCAAGCTATCTAAATGTATTTATTTTATCCTGTTCATTTACTTTTGTATTCAGTCCACATTCATGTAGCACCCATTCATTCTTGACCTTATCTCTTCTTAAGTGCCCATTCCCAATGCACTCAATTTACTTTTATGTTTCTCCTGACATACTCAACTCTCACTCTCATACAACAAAGTGGGTAGAAGCATGCTTTTGCGAACAACGGTTTCCTTTCTTTTGACAAATGTTCATTCCTTGCATCGGATGATAAACTATCCGCTGTCTTTCTACCAGCATTGGTAAGCCTTAATTTTTTTCACCTATTTTCCCATCTTTAATAAACATTCTACCAACATAGACAAATACACCCATTTGCTCTTCATTTTATCATTTATGTATAATAGACAGTTCCTGTCAAACATAACTATGTTGGTCTTTGTTATAATAATTTTCAGATCCATACTTATAGTATCATATATTTTAACAGTAATTAAAATCATTCAGGTTCTCAGCCAATAATACAGTTTCATCTGCATATTCATATCCACAAGCAAAATACATCTAACATTAATCCTATCAGTCCTCATATATTTATCCATAAATACATTATACTCCTAATGGGCATCACATATCCTTGTCTTATTATTTGCTCAATATTAAACTATTCACTAAGTATTCTATTTTTCTCACACATACTTTGCTTCCATTATATAGCACACTTACTATATTCAGCAACTAACTTTCAACTCCATTATTTAAACTTATTAACTTATATGCTGCTTAATTTCTAATAACCTTTCAATCAGAATTCTACAAATTTGTTTCCAGGCACACTTAATCAACTCTATAGTTTTTGCTGTCTTTCCCTTTTTAAAGGAGAACAATAAAAGCATTTTCCAATCATCATGCACAGATGTAGTCTTCACATTCGTATTAAGCAAATCACACAGCCATCGTATAAGCAAACTGCATCCATATTTCATCTTTCTCCAGTTCCATTGTGTACAGCTCCTTGCACCAGGATAAGTAAGTCTGGTATAAATAGGAGGGATCTGGGTTAAGGCTTCCCTTGGTCAAAGACCAGAGCATTTTACATCCTGAGTTTCAGCCTGTATTTGTTTCTCTCATTCCCCCACAGTTGATCATACCTGCCTGGTTCTGACATTCAGTTAATGTCTGATTTGGGACTGGAGGGGGTAGGGGGATTAATGTGATATGTTTGTGTTCAAGAATTCTGCCATTGCATAATTTGGAGGCTTCAGTTGCCAAAATTCTCAGAAATGATCATGCTTGTTGAGAAAGGCATCCAGATTGGGGAAAGTTTGCATAGTCCATAGTTCAGGGCAGGATCTGTATGCGTTATTTCTCCCTCTGTCTCTGTCTCTCTTGTCAACACCAAAGTTGACTTACAGATAGCAAACATTTAGTTGAAGTTTGCCCATTGTCTAGGGGAAGAAGTTAATGTTGTATGTTGTAGAAATTGTGGAATTTAAATTTTTTTTTGCAATTATTATTGGAGAATAAATAAAATACTGTTCTGTTAAATAAGATCCAGAAATAAGACAGTGCAGGCAACTATTGCATTAAGGAGCTATGCTGGTATTTATATTCTACCTTAGATTTTTGTAGGAGTGCAGAGAAGGATTTTAAAAACAAAGTTCTTGAAACTTAATGGCATTTTACCCCTTATATAAGAATTATGGAAATATACATTGGTTACTTAACTATATACTATACAATACAATATTGTGAAACAACACAAACCAGCTTATGGGCATCTCTTTCTCTTCCATGAGCTTCCCATGACACAGTACAGTGGTACCTCGGTTCACAAACTTAATTCGTTCCGCGACTCTGGTCGCGAACCGAA